GAGGTGTTCTTCTTCCTTGTGTGTGTCCAAGGATAATAAAAGTCTGGCGAAAATTTAAAAACTTCAAAATGGAGCAGCCCTGTGCATTCTGTCTTGTGTTACAGGTCAATGATTAGGCAAGTGTTTATAATGGACCAAGAGTTCTCTGCAGAAATCCCAGCATCTAGAGTTCAGGTTGATGCCAGAGCTAACCCTGAGCCAAGGGTCTGATCCATGGGTAGCCCTGCGTCTCCTGCCTTTCCCAGCTAGTTTCTGGAAGGGACCCCAGCCTCCGGGACAGAGGGGGAGCTCGAAACCCATCTACTGAGCAGCTAGGTGCTCAGTGAGGAGCTGAGTCCAGCTGCTTTGACTCAGCTCCCCAAGAGTCCCTAAGCCTCACTGTGCCAATCTTGCCATAGTCCAGTCTAATCAGTTTTGCTCCAGATTGAAAATTGAAGAAAAGAAAGTTGTCACTTTTAGTTCTGAGGTTTTGTTTTGTTTTTCTATATATTGTAACAAGCTTGCGAATGACCAAAAGGGTGAAAACAAGCCCGGTGGGAACCATCTTTCCTCACAAGGAGAGTTGCTGCCTCCGCCACCATGTCTTCCTCCGACCGGCTCCTGCTGCAGGGCGGCTCCAGCTGCTGCTCCCTGGCCCTGCGGCTACACCATGTCGGTGGGATTTTCAGATTTTGTGTTTTCACACTGGCACTTTATCTACAATTTAATAGAAGCGTCTCCTGGCTGATCTGGAGGGCCAGGTGCACACTGCATGTGGCTTGAGGACGTGTCTTTGAGTGTGGGTCACAGGACATCGGCCCTAGAGTTCCAGTGTCACCGTCACAGGGGCAGGAGAAGAGAGTGAGGGTTTAATAGACACGTGTTTGCCCCCAGGGAGGCCGGATTGCCATCTGCTGTGCCACGTCTTTAGCCATGTCTGAGACAGAGAGTGAGCCGCTGCGCTATCATTATGTGTTGATTACTTGGGGAATAAACATTCTGAAAATACCTGGTGCACAGGAAGTGGGGGTGAGCCGAGGGGTCAGGAGGCACAGAGAGCCTCTGCTGGAGCAGAGAGCCTGTCATTGCCACACCAGAGGCGGCGGCCGCCCCCGGGGCCAGCCCCACCCCCCCGGGTCTCAGTGAAGTTATGCTGACTTTGTCAGTTGGTTTGTCATGATTTACACATTCATTTTTATTTTATAATTATAATGGATCTAGGAGCAAAACCCATTTATGTTTACACATGTCTGAGAAACATTGTAATAACAAATAGATTAAGTCTACCCTGAAGGTCTGTGACTGCTTTTGTTTTCTTAGATTCCATCTATTAGTTTGGGAAGAAGTAGGAAACATTTCCCACAGGGTGGGCCCAGTCTGTGGCCCATGACGCATGCTTCTCTCACCAAGAAAGGAAACTGCTTCTCCATGAGCTAGAAACGGTTTCTGTCCTCTGATAAGGTTGGTGCCAATGGCGGGCAGGTTGTTTCTCAGTCACAGCTGGCAGAGCGGGACACAGCGCCAAGGTGAGGTGCTGACTTCGAAGTACACTGTAGCTTTTAAGGGGCAGTTACCTTGTTTTCAGCCGCACAGAGGGCCAGACAGTGGGGAGAGGTCGCAGAGATCTGGACCTCGCTTGTCACCTCCAGAGAGTGCTCTCTGCCCTGGAACAGGTGTCTTTGGAGTTAATGGCGCAGGTACTGAGTGGCTACCTGCAGAGGCGGGTGGGCATCCAGTGGGAAGGGGGATTGGGTGATATCCTGACTCTGGAGAAACACAGTCCCCCTGACCACTTATTAAGGATGATGGTAACTGACCAGGCCTGACAGTTCTTGGTGCTCTGGAAGTGTCAGCAGCATTGACAGCCCTGTCTGGTTTTCTCTGTGGTTCCACTTGGCTATTTGAGCTTGGCTGTGTTGGGAGGCTTGGTCAGTGGGCAGCAACAAGGTCAAGCTGGGAGCCACCCTTGCAAGGTCCATCCATCAGTTGGAGCTTGCTGGGTAAAGAATGCTGGCATCTGCTAATAGGCAAAGATCCCCATTTATGGCAGGAGGCGCAGGACCCATGGGGCAGAGAAGCTCACTATATTGTGTCTTTCTTCTCTCAAGTGCAAGCTTTAGAGGGTAAGGGTCCAACCATGAGAGCCTTGTTCACCACAGAGCCTTGCACCTGCTTAATGGGCTCTAGCTGTTCTGCCTCCCCGGGTCCCTTCTAAGAAGTCTTCAAATGCAAAGGGCTGGGCTGTTGTCCAAACATATTTAACATATTTGTTGAACTGACTGAAAATGGTGTTGGGGCTCACGACTTATCCTCATCCTCAGGCCTAGGAAACTTGCCTGGCAGAGTAGCCAGGAGCCTCAGGATTAGAGACTCAGTGAGAAGAGGGACAGCTTTGAGAAGCAGATCAGCCAGGGACGTGGTCCCACCAGCCCAACTGCTCATCTGGAGCTGAAATCAAAATGAGAGGCTGACAGGTTGGCAGTGAGTAGGGGGCAGAGACCTGAGTGCTGCCACCTGCCCGTCCAGACTTCCTGGGCCACCTGGTTCTCTCCACAGGCTCCGGCCCCCCACTCCCTCCCACGGTGCTTGGGCTGGCTGCCACCTAGCTTCCCCAGAGCTGAGCTCCCCGACAGGGTGGAAAGAAGGAAGAGCGGATGAAACAGGGACTGCTCACTCACTGGACAGCCCCGGGGGAGTCCCCCGCTCTGTCCTCTGTGAAATTGGAAACATTTTCAAGAAAAATATCAGGTTAAAAAAAAAAATGACATCGGACACCCAAGTAAAAAAGACTTGGAGTGACTTAAGAAGTGGCTGCTGGCCCAAATTGTGCTTTTGAGTCTTTTTGATTTCTCTTCCTTCTCTAGCCACCAGAATGAGTAAGAAGAACATATTTGAGGACGAGCACACATAGATTCGAAGGCATCAACTTTGATGGCTTGGACATGCATCAGGAATACCATCTGGGATATTTGTTTGCCATATAAATTGAGAAAGGAAGTTAAGGGGAAAGACGTGGCCACAGGCCCGGGCTGAGTGGATGGAGGGGAAGCAGCGGAGGGTGTCAGAAGCCGCCTCCTCTGTGGCACCCACTGGTGACAGCTGAGAGTGAGGGTGTAAACTGATCTGTCCCTTCTCAAAGTGCAGATGGTGCCAACTTCCAGCATCCGGTGAAGGGGTGTGTGATCTCGCTGAGCTACTGCCTGCAGCCACCCAGCAGAGATGTCTGTGCCAAGACTCCCGTCTCTCCCGGAGCCCTGTGTATCTCCCTCTCCTCCTCGTAAATTCCCCTTTTCTGCCGTGATTCCAAGCCTGCCACTTCACCACCCTCAGGGCCCAGTGGGACCCAGTGGGACAAAGAGGGTGTCATCCAGGGTGCTGGTCTCATGCTTTGGCCAGTCTCCCCAGTAGTTTAGACTTGGGGAGGAAGCCTGGGCTCCCGTCTGCAAGGATAGCCCAGGCCTCCTGGACACTGGTACCAAGGGCCAGAGCCAACGTGTGGAGCCCCTACACCAGTGCCCACAGGCATATAGCCTGCTAGCACCCCACGTGCACCCCCACTCTATTCCATAAACCAGTCCGACCAGCCCATCCTGCTGCCTGTGACACTAGCAGACAACTCCTGGCAAGTCCTGGGACATTCTTCGATGTCCTCGTTGTAGAGTATGTCCTGCATACTGGGGGCTCTGGGGGCGCTGGAGGGCATGGCCCTTGGTGCCATCAGACGGGACCCGGGGCTGAGGCTGCGGGTACACAGCAGCTTGTGCAGCTCACACTGAGCTGAGGCTCTTTGACTCATCTCATATAAAGAATACGCCTAGACTCCTGAGCACCCCACCAGGATTTGCGGTAATGCTAATGGTAAAATGGGGAGTTGCCTTCTTTGAGCTTCTACTTTAAGACCACACAGGAGGGAGGAGATCACTCCTCCAAAGCACAAGCTCTCTTGTCATAGTGCCCCAGTGTCTCTGGGGCCCTGCCCCTCCCAGAATTTGCAACTTTTTAGGACTTTTCACTCCATAGTTACCCCAAGATTCTGGTACAAAAGTTTAAGGACCTCATTACCAACATCAGCCTTTTCCATCAGTGTGCTAGTGCACCCAGATTTTCATAGACCTTCCCACCAAGTGGCAGGGCGTGGCTCTCAACAAGATGGGTCTCCCCGCCTCCTTCAGAGGAAAGGGGCATGGGACTGTCATGGTGCAGGTGATCCCTGCCCACCTCTTCCATGTCCATTTCCGTGACAGTTTAGTATCTTTCCAGAGATATTTTTTCATGAACAGAAGGGACAGAGGCCTCCACCCCTGCTCCTGTCTCAAGAGTTAGAAGTGGCTGCGTGGAGCAGGAGCAGGCAGAGGAGATGGCCTGCCAGTTCCCTACAGCCCTCTTCCCTCCTTCCAGAGTCCTGCACCAGCCTGCCCCACATTAGCTGGGTCCACAAATGCCAAATGCCAAGTTTTGCAGGACAGGCCAAAGCACGGGCAGCGTGGCTGGTTCCAGGCCCAAGCTGTGAGTCCTTTTGTTAAGGGGAAGGATGTCCTAAAGGAACTCTGCAGAATCTTGTGGACCCCACCCCCTACTCCAGCTTTCTGGACCTTACCCCCTACTCTAGTGATTGGAAACTACAACTCCCAGCAGTACCAGGGAGAAACTGCGAGGACCCAAGGGCGGAGCTAGCAGGAATTCTGGGATATTTGGGAGATAAATAGGACACTGACTCGGTGTGTCAGCCTAGCCTTAAGGCATTTCATTTACTTTGTATCCCATTCTCTTTACCTGTGCTGTGTCCTACTCCTTTTCCCTTGTGTAAATAAATCTGTTTGTGTGTACCTGCGGTATAACTGAATTGTGAGCGTGGGGGTGAGGCCCCACAGAGAGGCGGCCCAGTGCACTCTGGGCTACCCTGTAACACTTTTACCTTTAACAAGACCTAACTTCTCCAAACTGAAGAAATGCAGAAACTCCCTGGCACTGCCTTCCAATCCCTGGCTTCTGGAGGAACCAAGAAATGAACAAGGCTGCTATGGAATTGCTCACATGTATTTATTTCACAAGAGGGGAGATAGAGTGGGGGTGACCACCAGTAAGATGCCACCAAATGAGACACTGTGAACCCCAAACTTGGCAACTGGGTAGCTACAGGGTTGGATGGGTTCTGGGCAGGGCTTGGCTGGGGCAGCATGAGGGAGAGAGGTGGGAAATGGCAGAGGGACAAGCTTCCTCTGGGGCATCACACGGGGCAAGGCTGGGCCACGTCCTCCTGGCAGAAGACCCAAGGCCAAGCCCCCGAGCTTCTCGGCAGCCTGGACCTGCTCCAGGAGAGCAGTGAGACAGCGCGCCCGAGGCCACGCTTCTGCGTCTACTCTACCACACACTCAGACACACGCAGTCAGACCCACGCTGTGGGTGCCACTCGCACGCGCGCACACATACAAGCGTCTCACACGTGCAATCCCACAGACACACAAACACACACAGGCACACACATCCATATATTAACTCTGATTTATAAGTGCACCCTAACCAGAGGGCAATCGAAAAAAAGTTATTACTCTTCAGAGAGGAATCCACTGCCTTCTCTCCCGCTGGCCAGCAGAGCTGGTGACATGCGTGAGCACAGAGCACCTGGGGGGCCTGGCCCCGTGCTGTGCCGGCTGCGGTCCTCACGCTCCAGGTGGAGGTCCCTGGCTGCTTCCCCTGCACCCCGCCAAAGGCCGGGCTCCCTAGTCCTGGGGTGGGAAGAGCTGCCCGGCCCCGCTCCACTTTGGGGGTTTCTGCAGCTGAGCGCACCGTGGGTGCTCATCCTATTCCTGTCTCCAGCACCCTCCAGACACAGGTAGGAGAGTGGCCCAGGCACCCTGCAGTGATGCCCAGGTGACCATGGATGTGTCAAACCCCTGTCCCCCCAATGCAGGCCAGCTCAGGGGCGGCCCAGAGTCCCCTCGGCCACCTGCTGGAAAGGTTTGGGGGTGGACTGTGAACGGGCATCTGGGTAGAAGCAAACTCGAGGGAAACTGAAACTCAGGGTCTCACTGCCTCCTCTGTGGAGAGGGAGCTAGGATGTGGCTGAGACCCCCACCCAGCTTTGTTGAGGACTGGTGTAGAATTTAGAAGCTGTTACTGCAAAAGATGAGAACGAGGAGGGGACCCTGCCAGCCTCAGTCCTGACAGAGGTGGGGAGACGGCGAGGAGCAGTGGCGGGTTCATTCCTTGGTACCAGGCCCAGGCCTGGCTGCAGAAGACAGCTCCTGGGTTCCCAGAGAAGGGCCGGGGGGCTTTTTCCGGGTGTGTGAGCCTCGTGGCAGTTGGTTGTCTGATGGGGACAAAGTCTCCATCGGGGTGCCTTGTTGCCCTGGAGAAGCCCTGGGAGGTGTCCCAAGCACCTGCTGGCTCCCTGCTGCTCCCCACTGTGTAGCTGGCCCAGAGGACAGCAGACCGGGCCCAGCAGCCAGGTTCTGGGCCCCAGCGTCTCCCCACTACTTGATGAAGTTCTTAATCGTCCACCTCTGTCCCGTGCAGCTACGGAGAATGAGGTCGATACCGGCCAGACCACGGTTCTCCACCTCCAGACAGCGCCCCGTGCCCTTATTCATGATGGCCCCATTCTGGGAGGTGATGGGGTGAAGAGGGGAGACAACACATCCCCAAAAGAAAACACAGAGAGAGAGACAGACAGACAGACAGTGAGAGAGAGAGAGAGAGAGAGAGAGAGAGAGAGAGAGAGACTTAATCACCACAGTGCTTGGCACCCGACCTCTTATGGGAAACAATCTCATCAAAATTTTTTGAGTAGGAGAGGGGCTTTTGGGGCTTCCTCTGGAAACCCTAAAAGTCAGAAAATAAGTTACACTAAGTTTGACTAAGGGAACCAGGTGATGCATGCCAAAGGGGGATGGAGTCACGTGTCAGAAATCCCCGGGTCTATTCCAGCTCTGACTTATTGACCTGCTGGCCACAGGTCCTCAGATACCAGACAATTTGCCCCCCACTCCCATTTTAGGGTTTATCAGTGCAGTCAGCTCAGCACTGCCGCAGGATCAGGAAGACTGTATTGTGTGAAACCCCCACCCCCTGGTGTGGGGCCGCTGCCTGGCCTTGCGGGGAGGCTGTACACTCTGCGTGTCTCTGTGGAGTTCCCCGGGCCTGATCATCTGTGCATGTGCTGCGTACTCACCTGGATAAAGTTCCAGCGCTTGTACAGGCTGCTCTTAACCTTGTCACAGTCAAGAAGCTGGGGCAGCCGACTCTTGGAGTTGTCCACCAAGCAGCGGGTGTCAGGGAGGAGTGTGGTGGTCCCCAGTGCCCCCAGGTGCAGGAAGCCTTCCTTGGTGTAGCGGGCGAGCTGGGGAGAGAGCAGAGCAAAATTTTTTAAAGCATATTCTCATGTTTCAGGTTTCTAACTTTCGGTTCAACAATAGGGAGGAGCAGGAATAAGGGAAAGAAAAAGCAGGATATCTGGTTTCAGCATCCTGGCTCTACTACTGACTGGCTGGGCCACCTTAAAAAAGTTACTAAACCTCTCTGCTTCCCCATTTCTTGTCATTTGCATACTGGGATTAATTAAAGCTACCCTGTTACAAAGAGCCCAAAGAGGCAGTTCAGTGAAGAAAGAACAGACACATTAAACACATTCAATACCATAGATATTAAAACAAATTAAAAAGCTAAACCAAGATAAATAACGAAAAAAAAACCTATTCCCAGTTTTCCAATGTTAGCATAAAATGCACTCGAGGAAGACCAAATTACAAAAAAAGGATTCAAAATATATACTTGGTGTTTTGAAAGTGTCCCTCTCCTTCAACTGATTATTAGAAATCTATCCCAAGGAAATAAATAATCAGCACTGTGAATAAAAGCTTATGTATAGGGTACTTATGGCAACATTACTGATGAAATTATTATTGTAACATTAGTGAAATTATTATTGGAATTACACAATAGCAATTATTACTGAAATTATGTTGCAACAGTCTGATGAAAAAGCAGGAACGCAATGAAGGCAACAGAATCCTGGTATTTGCTTTCTACTCCTTGTATGGCAACAAGCACCAGGAGATTGTGGTAGACTGCAAAAGTGGCCCCATCCTTCACTCTTCCTTCCAGACACCCTGGACAAGATGAATCTCTAGCTATTTCCACCAGGGAGTGGCGCTGACTTCCCATGTCCTGTGTGTTGTTTGGCCTGGTGATGTGCTCTGGCCCACAGAGTGCAGCAGAAGTGACCAGACTAGCCTACCAGCACGTACAGGATACGTCTACCTGAGAGCCCGACTGCCACTGTGGCAGGAAGCTCAGGCTGGCCTGCTGAAGGATGAGGACATAGGGTCTGACCCACAGCTTGAGAAAAATGAACAAGGCCGTCTTAGATCAGTTAGGCTTCCACGGGCCTGCTAGCTGATAGATGCATGACTGCATCCAGCCCAAAGGAGCCAAGCCTGGACCAGGTCACGGAAACCACCAGCTGACCTGCAGCCTTGCCAGAAATAGTACTTCACAGTGTTTTATGCCACTGAATTCTGGGACAGCTGTGGCCATAGCTAGCTGATACGGAGCTGGGGATGCCCGCCAATCCTTCACACCCCTGCCAAGCCAGCCCATGCTGGGTGACTTGTCCCTGTCATGCTGCCTTCTCCGTTGTTTAATATCATATATTCCAACTTTGGACACATGCATTCACCTTCTCTTCTCCTTGAGGGGCAGTGACTGTGCCCAGTTGATGTCATTCCTTGCCCTTAATTCACAAATTAAGGGCTCAAAACATGTTTGTGGATAAGCACTTGGTACATGTGCTGAACGGCCTTAAAAAGGTATCTCCATGTAGTTATTTGCACTCCAGAGCAAGTTTGGGAGTGCCCTCTGTGTGCCCAGCCTGGAGACAGGCTTCAGGGACAGAAGCTGGGCTGTGTTCCCACTGAGAGGCTTCCTGTGCAGGCTGGGGAAGGCAGAATGGGAGGCAAGCCTAACTCTCGCCTCCTGTGGGGTGGGTGTGCTGATCACTTACATACCGCTGGTGCCTAATAAATTAAAAAGTAATATTGCCAGCTGGAAAGTATTGAAGGGTTGCTCTGTATCATTTCTAAGCTTTGTATGGAGAGTAAATAATCCAATGTTCACAACCACCTTGTGAGGTAGGGTCTATGACTCTTCCCATTTTAAAGACAAGGAAAGTGAGGCAGGAAGACATCTGGTCACCTGGATAAGTCCTAATCTCTCTCCTTGGTCATCAGGGACTTGCTGGGTGGCTGCCCTGACCCACCAGTGAGCAGAAGGGCCCCTTCTTGAGAGTCTGGGCATTTCTGGCCAGGGAAGGAGCAAGAAGGTAGCACATTTCAGGGACTTGAGTCCCTTCCCCAGGGATGAGCTTCTTTGTGGGAGTTCTGAGCTCCTCAGAGAGCGCTGCTCTGATTCCAGAAGAGGAATCTGCCTATTCCCCTCTGAAACAGGGACAGGGGGTTTATTAAGTGCCCTTGAGAGAGATGCCGTTAACATGAGCTTTAAACCCAAATTAGTTCCAAATCAGAGTAATTGTTAGAGGCGAAATGGTAAGAAATCAGCAGTCCTCCCCTACCCCTCCCTAAACAATGTCTCCCTGAATATATTTAAATTCACCAAATGCGAAGTGATGAATGACAGCAAGCTGCCTTTATGTTCAGGGGAAAGATATACACAGCTGCTTATTGAAATTATGAATCAATCTATTATCCAGCAGGCAAATGAGCAGCGCTAAGAACATTAATTAACTGAGCATATCTGTGACCCAGATGTTTAAAGAGTGAAGCTAAATGCCACTGGGAGTTAGAGGCTCTCCTTTCTGGGGTCTGTTAGGGTGTGAAAACAATGAGATCCGGGCTGTGGGAACCTGTCAAAGCTGAGCACCAGTCCCAGCAGGCGGGCTCAGGGCAGGCAGGGGCAGGGAGGAGGGACCCGCGAGGTTTCCATTCTGGGGAGAGGCGGTTTTTCCTGCATCACCAGGCCAAGTTCATGGGCTGTGCTGACCGGTCAACGGAAGGGCACTGGAGTCTGAAAGGATGCTGGGGTTAAAGCTGGCCAGCAGATCTCATGTCCACCTCTCCCCACAGGGTGAGTGCAGCCATGGCATCACCCGAACACCCCTTCTGCCCCACTCCTGGCTCAGGAGCTGATACAGGTCTGGTCCACCTCCCCCAGCCACAGACCCCTGACCTTCCAAAGGACCTCTGCTCTCTGTCTTCTGGTGTCTCCAGGGGTTGGCTGCAGCCTCCTCCCTTCCTGGAAATGCTATCCATTGGCCTTCTAGAATGTTCTGATTTCCATGTTCCTAGACCTGTGTTCATTCCATAGTGTTCTTTTTTTCTAGGCCCCATCACTTTCTCTCAAGTCTTTGGGACATGGATCCACACGCTCCAGCACCCTGTTAAAGGCTTCCTGCACATTTTCTTACTCGTTTCCATCTCTGTCCCCCTATTCATGCTGCAAGATGTGTTCTATGTCATTATTTCTCCCTTCTTTTTCATTTATTCAACCTGATAAAGTATAAATATAACCAGACTGTGATGCCAAAAAACACTTCTCTGGCCACGGCTCTGCATACCCCCTGATTTTGCCTGGGATTTCCTCTCTCTTGTTCCTTAATGGCTCCTGCAATTTGACTTCTACCACAGCTACTTTATTAAATTTACTCTCTGAAGGCTATTGTCAACTTCAATTGCTGTATCTTAGACTACGAGTTGGGCACCACAGTGGGCCAGGAGCCATGCTGGCTGTGGGGGATGCAGCCTCTCCTGTTGACACTCCCCACCCCCACTTCCTTGGAGTTTGCCGCTCTCAAGGCTTTTCATGGCATCTTGCATGAACTTGGCCAATTGCACCAATAGTTACTACCTCTAAAACAACATTTTCCCTTGATGCCAGATCGGCGCATCTAACTCTCCACTGACATGCTACATGGAGGTCTCATAGCATTTCAAGTTCATACGACCCAAATCAAATTTATCCTCCACCTTCACCCACACTCATTCAGCAGCTGCTGTGCCTTGGTAAGGCTCAACTCCATGCTCCCCGTGCTTAGACCTTCTGCTTTGGCTTCATTTTTTACCTGCCTCTCCCTCTGACTCCACCCCCCACCCCACCATCAATATTCAGTCCACTAGCAAGCTCTATCCAGTTTCACCTGCAGTTTTTATTTTTTTAAAGATTTATTTACTTATGCATACAGAACCGGTGTACAGACCAGAGGTGGTGAGAGAAGATTCACCAGAGACAGAGCGGGGAGCAGAACAGGCTGACTGATGAAGTACACCACTGAAGGGAGCAGCGGGTGGGTCAGGAGAGGTCTGCCACACCATGTGGGTCACCTCTAGGGCGGGGATCAAACTCATGCTGAAGTGGCTTTAGCTTCTTAGTGCTGTGCTCTAACCCTCTGCGCCACCAGGCAGGGCCTCACCTCCCTATTATGTCCCTGTTCCAAGCCACTTTCATCTTTTGACTGGACTAGTACAATGACCTCCCCTCTTTCCTGCCCAAAATGGGGTGCCTCTCACTTCTTCAATCACAGTCACAGCTCCCTGCCACCCCACTCCCTGGTACACCCCCACAGCCCCGATCTTTCTCTAGACTCTTGGTTTACAAACCTGAGTCACCTTCATCTTCTCCCTTTCCCTCATCCTCATCCGCATCAGTTACAAATCTTATAACTGCTGCCTCTATGGGTATCTTCCTCATATTTGTGTCCTCCAAAAATCCCAGGTGAGACTCTTCTGGGACCTGAACTGCTGCTTTGTAACTGTCGTCCTGCCTCTAGGCCTTCCCAGTCCCAGCTGCCCTTTCCCACCCTTCCCTGCCTCAAGCTTCAATGGCACCCACCACCCACTGTTTTAAGAATAAACTTACCAGGACCTTCCACCATGAGGCCCAATTTACCTTTTCAGGCTTGGGTCTTGCTTTCCTGGTTTATTCTAACAGATGACTTGAGGTTTCTCAAAGACAGCCCACAAGCTTCCCTGGGAGGGGATCCCTTCCCCACCCACAGTTCCACCAAGGCCCCTCACCCCTCTGCCCCAGGGCTTACGTAACTACATAATTTATAAATATGTATTTCCTTGTTACTGAATTTTGCTGTTGTTTTCGGACAGGAGCAGCATCCTACCCATTTTCATATAACGTAATGTCCAAGAAAAGTATCTTACAAAAAGCAATTGCTCTATAAATGTCTTTTGAATCGAATGGGATTATTCCAGGTTTGGCTGCTGGGCCCAAGAGGAGAAATGAACATCATTAGCCACAGTCCTAATGCATTAGGAAAAAAATAAAAACAACCTCTGAGCACAAATATAATTAATTCTCATTTAGGAGAAAAAAGTA